CAAATTCTCCACCTGGTCATGCTCTTGTGGGCAAGGCTCAGGGGACCCCCACTTCTTGCTGCTTTGAAACTCACCCGGTACAGTCCCTACTGGACACAGATGAGCTGTCCCTCATGGTGTGTGTGTATGTGGGGTGTCTGGGTCATAGCTCAATTAAGTCTCTGGCTAGTAAACACAGATGGACTAGGGTTTCCCATTGTTCTTCCAATAAAGTCCAAACTTTATATGACTCATAAGACCCTTACAGGTTTGTCCACCAATTACCTCTTTAGTCTCAAGTCTGGCTTCAGCTTGCTTTCTTGCTATATGGTCTGTCTCATAGGTCCCCAGAAGTAGCTAGGATTTGTTTTGTATTCTTCACATATATATTTCCTGCTGCCTAGAATATTCTTCTTATCCTCTCATTGGCTATGAAGGACTTTTATCATCCTTAACCTCTGCACAAAATACAGTTTGTCTTTCTGACCCCAATTCTCTGATTGTATTTTTAAACAAGATTTTATTTATTTACGCATACAGAATTGGGGTGCAGGCCAGAGGTGCAGGGGCAATGAGAGAATTCACCAGAGACAGAGTGGGGAGCAGAACAGGCAGACTGACAAAATACACTGTAGAGGGGAGCTGTGGGCTGGTCAGGCGAAGTCTGCCACACTGGGGATTGAACTCACATTGAGGCAGCTGTGGTCAGCTTGCAGCACTGTACTTTAACCAGCTGCACCACCAGGAAGGGCCCGCTCTGATTGTATTTTAACCATCATAGAGAGGAACAGGTCTATCACCTCCTTTGGTGTCGACATTATACCTTTATTGATGTAGTCTCTGAGCAATAAATTGCATTTGATAGTTGGTTCATGGCATTGACTTGTCTGCCCTGATCGCTTTCTAACACCTGGAGCTGGCCCCTTTCTCAAGGGCTATTAAATTAATAGCATCTAGTCTCTGGAAGCAGCTGGGACTGGCTTCAAGGCTGGTCCCATCTCTCAGGCCTTTTGGCCCTCAAATGCAAAGCTGTTCTTCCGTGCTTCTGGTGGCTTACTCCAGCTTTTCTTGTGAACATAATTGAAATTTCAGAGTCAACAGTTTTTAAAATGATTTTTTTTTTATCTTTGGATGGTGGTGGGAGTCACAGAAATGTCTTCAGAATATTCCCAAAGTTTATTGTAGAAGGAAGTCTGCTTCCTTCCCACCTCCTGACAGACATTTGCTAAGCCCCTACTGTGTGCTGGTCCTGGGCTCAGGCCTGGAGGAGCTGAGTGGGAGGGGAGGGTGGTGGAGGCCCCTGCGCTCCTTGTGGTGGGGTAGGGTGGTTGGCAGGGCTCAGGCAAGCATGGAGTTTTCACCTCAAAGCCAAGGTAGCCGCGATAAATGCCGGGGGAGCAGAGAAGCATGATGTGGGGAGAAATGTGGCTCCTGGCATTGTTTGGGATGTCACTGCTCTGAGCGTGGAGGTCACACACGTAGAGTGTTTTCCAAAGTGGAGACAGGGCAATGGCTTTGTGAGACTTTAGTCTGGCCTCTGCCTTCTCATTGGGCCTGAGCTCTTCTGGCTTCTCTGACCTCGCTGGGGGGTCGCCCCTGCTGGTGCCAGGTCTCCCGGGAGTGATTATCCCCACCCACCCTGCCACCTTTTTTGATTGACTCTGGCCCTGGGGAGAAAGCCCTTTCTTGAGGCTCTGGAGCTGTTGGGGTCCAAGGGGGGGGCAGCTGCTCCTCTGGGCCTGCTTTGGAAACAGAACACATGGGCTCAAATCTGCCTCCTCCATATTTCTGGCAACACTCAAGCCTCAGTTTCTCTATTTGGAACACAAGGTTAATCATAGTGCCAACTTCATTGGATGGTTGTAGGGGTAATTAAGTAAGTCAGACAAGAGCAACATACCTAGAAGGTGTCTGGCATGTGAGAAGCAATCGATAAGTCTTAGCTATTATTATTGTTATTGATGAAGCAGAAAGTCCGACTGCTAATAGCGGGTGGAATGGAGAACAGGCTGGGTGAGAGAAGTCAATAGCGTTTGAATAATTCAGGGCAACTTAATGAAGTGAACATCTATGGTCTCTTCTGCATGCCAGGACTTGTCCTGGGCGCTGCAGAGTCAGACCTGGTCCTTGTCCTGCCGGGCTCAGACAAAGGGTGTGGAGACAGACCTGGATGGGGCGGGGGGTGACCACACGGGCACTGATGCAACAGGTGCATGTGTAGGTCACTGCAAGGTCAGAGGCAGGAGCTGTGTGAGAGTCTGGAACAGTGGGGAGTCAGAAAAGCCTTCACGGTTGTGCTAATACTTGAATTGGGTTTTCAGGTGAATAGAAATTTTCTAGATAGATGGGATGCCAGCAGATTGTTCTAGTAAGCACATTATCAGACCTCCAGGCATTGTGCCTAATGCTTTACCTACGTCATTTTCAGTCATCTCTACAGTCCTGTCAAGTGGGCGTTTCCGCTATCAATCTGTAGTGGCAGCAACAGAAAGGGAGGGGAGTGCCCTGAGGTTATAGACTCATTGGCAGAATTTGGATTCAAACCCGGCCCTTTGGCTGTGATATGGTAACTGAGGCGCCTCAGCTGATGGAGCAGCGGGAATCTGAGTGTGGAAGGGCCTGGTGCCTGTAGATGAGGAGCTGTGTGGACTGGAGGGAGGGCCGGTCGGGGCACAGAGTTGCCATGCTGTCCCAGGGGACTGGACTCTGCTCTAGGCCAGGGGAGTCGTGCAAAGGGCTGCAAGGCGGTCAGATCTGTGTCTTAGGTAGCTTCCCTTGGCTTCATATAGGGTGTGATGGGAGGCTGAAGGGAGGGAGGGGGCTTGGGGAAGATGGGAGGAGAGAAGATGGAGAGGGAAAGATGACGGGGTGGTAGCACCTCAAAAGACCAATTCCAGCAAAGTGAAGGAGAGTGAGAAACATGTGGCTTTGCAAAAAAAAGGAGACTTAAAAAAACATAGGGGTCTCAGTGTGCCGTAAGACCAAATTCCAAATCCCATTCTAGGGGACCTACGGGTGTGTCAACCAGAGAGAAGCAGCTCAGCAGGACAGAGCAAACGTGCCGGACTCCAGAGGCCAGTGAGGGCTTTGCAGGGAGTCAATTTCGGGTTTCCCTGGACTCATTCTGTTTACCTCTGTTCCTATTGGCTTTGTGTTTTTCTCTGTAGCCAGATTCCTTTGCTTCTCTGGTCCACAGGGTGGCTGGAAAGCCCCTTTCCACAATCCTAAGCTCAGGTCCCTGACATGGTTGGTGCCTTCTCTTCCCTCCCCCACCTCTCCACCCATCACATTTCCCACCATCATGGAGGGGGCTGATGGGTCTGGCTTTGGACGGATGTCCACCTCTGCCCCCATCAACAGTGGTCATGAGGCTGGCCCCTTGCTCTAACCATGTGGCAGGAGAAGGGGGAGATTTCTGGGGACAGGGGACCAGGCAGAGAACCTAACAGGGTGACACACCCTTGTATGAGCTTCTCTGTCCTCTCTCTGCCCAAGTTTAGGGAGATGTATTCACCAAATGCAGCGATGACGGACGAGGGAGTGTCTGTTCCTTGAAGATCTGTCCCCACAGGGGTGTGTTTGCTCCTCATTCTAGACCCACACGAGGCCTGGTTTCCCAGTTACTTTCCAGAGTGGAGACACTTCTAATGTTGGAACACCAAGACTGCTGTCCTCCTGGAGCAGGGGGCTCCGGCTTGGGGGGAGGCCCTCGCTGCTGGCTCTGACTTCTGTGCCCATGGACTCTCCAGGGTGTGAGGTTGTGATGCTAATTGACTTTAAGGAGTGGGCTCGAAATTGGAATTTCTGGGCCTCCAGGTCCCTGGTGGCAGCATCTGATGCTCATTAAACCACAGGTAGATGAATGGGCTGGTGGATGCTGACTGTGCAACGTCAAGGAGCAACTGGGATTCCTGCTCCGCAGGTGCTGACAATACACAGGGCAGAATCACTGGCATGAGGCACTGAAGGGGACTCACCCAGGTGGGCCTGAATCGCAAGCTCAATCTCTCTCTCACTTGAATGCACACTCACACTCACTCCTGGGAACTAAAAATAAGGATCCGGGTTCTTGTTTCTCTCCAGTTCCTCACTAGCTGTGCGACCTTGGGCAACTCCAACTCTCTGGGGTTCAGCTCCTGTAACAACAAGAGGTGTGCACGGAGGGTTTCAGAGCCTCGTAGCTGAGGGCATCCCCCTAGGCACTGATGCCAGACATCAGAGGGTCCTGTGTAGGGAATTCAGTGGGTGGGAAGGCTGTATGACATCATCAGTGCTTGGATATGAGAGCTGCAAACTCCATCTGCTTTGGGGGATCACCTCCCCCCACCCTGAAGTCTTCACTGGCTATGTTGGGCTGCCAGGATGGCGGTCCCAGATCCAGTCTTGTCTCTCCTTCAAGGCTCCTTCCTGGGGAAGCTCTCTGCCACCGTCAGCTCCACTCTGCGGGTGCCGCAGTGGGCAGCTCCTTCCGGGGCCTTCTTCCGGTGCCTGACTCTGCTCTATTGCACCTTCGTGTTCCCCTGAACTCTCCAGTGCAAGCAGAGTGAAGTGGAGGAGACCCTTTCTCTTGCTTTGTCCCCATGCTAGATCGGGCCATGTGGGCATCAGAGTTGCTCAGCTGGCACCCAAAGGCCTTCAATCATTACCACAGCAGTTCCTTAATCTTCTGGGCCCAAACTCTTAGCTCACCAGTCTGAGCAGGGCCTCGGCGCCACCTCGCCCTACCCCCAATTGCCCTCATTTCAAAGTCCTTTCAACTCTGGGAAACCCCAGTAGCTTCCAAGCACCTCATCCTACAGGAGGGAGAGAGCAAGGCCCCTGAACTACCCCACTGCCGGGAGCGCCAATATCCTGCTCCAGGCCTGCAGGGTTTCTGCAGTCTTCTCCATTTGATTTCTATTTGAGTGTTTGTGTCAATCAAAATTAACCAGCGTTTATCGAGTACTTATTGTGTAACAGCATGGAGGAAATTGATCTTTTCTGAAGAAAAAGTTTTCTGTTCTCTGATTTTTGTCTTCTAGATTCCTCAGCCTTTTGGAAGGGATGCCTTGAATTATTCAACCTGCAGCACAGATCTCCGGAGAACATCGCCTCGCGGCTACTTTAATCACTAGAAAGGTTCAGAGTCAGTTATAATCAAGCCGGAGTCAATGTGGAAATGCTCATCTTGGCTTGGAAACAAGATCAAAAGGAGGACCAAGGTGGAGCTCAGATCTGAGAAGAGAGATGGGTGCTGGTTTCCAGAGGCTTGTGGGTCCCCCTGTTTCCAAAGGCAACTGCAGGCCGCAGCTCCAGGCCCTGCAGGGCATGTCATTGCATAACTCTCTGACCTTTTCTAATGTCATCAAGGGCCTGTGACAGCTCTCTGCCAATTCAGGGACAGACTGACCAAGGCTAGGGGGAAGACTGTGACCTTTAAGAATGTGTGGGAAGGAGCTAGCGGTGACGCTGGGGAGAGCTAACCCAGGCTGACCTGCGATTGGCACAGGCAGGCGTTGGGGGCTTGAGGGTGTGGAGGGCTGGCTGGGGCATCTGTGGACACAACCAGAGTGGAAAGCAGCCTAGGGGCGAGGGCAGTGGCCAGGGCTTGTCCAGGGGTGGGTCATTCTCCTCAGCTGGGTCCCTATGGAGTCCTGAGAAATTGATGGGCATTGAGGCTGAAATGGAAACAAGGAGGGGTTTTCGGGTGTAGCTTATGTCCTCTGTGTCAGGTAGTTGGCACAAAAGGGTGGGGGGACTGCATGCAGCTTAGCATGGGGGCTTCAGCTAACACAGTGCGTTCCCTGCATTACATGAGGGTTTGGTGCTCTCTCAGAGAACAGTGTGTTGAGGGCCAGAGGTCCCACTGATAGCTTGGGGGGACAGGCACACCCCCTTCCCCTGAAACAGTAACAGGACATGGGTGCAGCTGAGCTGACTGCACTCCTCCAAGGATGGAGCTGCATGGGGGGCATGAACACACCCCCCCACCCCCCGCTTAAAGAGGAAAGATGCTCAGGGAGGACTCCAGGAGCCCACCCAGGGTGTATGGCCTGCTCCTCCTTCCCACACCCTTGTCCTGCAGGCGATGGCATGGAGCATGGGTGAGGGCTTCTGTGAAATGGAAGGTCGCCTGATTCTGTCTCTCCCCTGCCTCAGGTGGGCAGCGCTGGGGAGGTCTCGTGGGGATTTACCTGCTCAGCCTGGAGCCAGGCTTTGGGACCCATGCTCTCTCTCAGCTGCTGGGCCTCTTGCTCTTTCTCTGGCCAGGACTAGGGGGGCTCGAGTGGTGTCTTACCTCTGAGGAGTGAGGTCAGAGAAAGCCCTGGGCAGGGATGGCCCTGCCAGCCCAGTTGCTCTCTGGCCCAGCCCAGCCCACTTGCATGGGCTTGCACCAGGCTAGCCAAGAGGACAGTGCTGGCTGGGCACTGGCAGGCACTTTTCCCTCCTCTTCGGAGTGGGCTGGGTCAAGGAGGGCTTGGAAATTCTGGAGCTGGCTCAGATGCTGTCCTAGCAATTGAGTCACCACAGCCTCCTCCTTGCATGGCTCAGACCAGAGATAGTGGGGGGTCTGAAGCTTCTGGGTCTTGGGGAGCAGGGTCCTCGGGCCCTGCATTGGAGCCCTCCATGATGGATATGGATGTCACCACAGGGGTGTGGGCTGTTCCTTCAGCTCTGTGGGTGGCAGAGGCCTTGGTGACAGTTATCCCTGGTGGGACCAGGACACAAAGATGGGGGGCTATGACAGACATTAAGGTGGCAGCTGGGTGTTTGTGGGGACACGTGTGTCATGCACACATGAGCAGGTTGCTGGGGTCAAGTCTTAGCCATGTGACCTCGCCCTCTAAGGACCTCAGTTTCTCCACCTGTGAAGTGGACAGAGGGTCATGGTGATGGGTGCAGCAGAGCTGGGGCACCAGGCTGGCACAGGGAACACTCGGAACCAGTCTTCATGCCTGGCTGTGTCTCCGTGTCCTCGCAGAGACTCAAAGGGCTGGTAGTGTCACACAGGCTGCCGTGGCTGGGACTGCAGGCACCCACATACCCCACAGCTCACCCCGAGGGCGCTTGGGGGCACTAGGAAAACACTGTTTAATTTTTTTCCTTTTGCGCAGCAGCGAAGCCACACGAATGGATGGGACTTGCCCTCAGCTTCCCCATTTCAGTGGAATCAGCAAAAAGCTGATTACAGCCTATTATACACATGAGCTGCGCAAGTGAGAATGTGGGCTGCACAGGGGGTGCTCTTATGTTTCTCCATCCTGGGGGCTTTTGGTCATTTGGTGGGGTTCCTTCTGGACCTACTGCTATGTGTATGGAAATACAGCTCATATAGATACACACTGTTTACGCTGCCCTTCCCCCTCTCTCCCTCCCCTCCCTCTCTCATTCTCTGTCTCACACACACACACAACAGCAGCGTGCACAGACACTGCCATTGACATGACACAGCCTGGCGATCCCCCACCCCAGTTATCTGGGGCCGCACACACACACACACACACACACACACACACAATTCCTCCTTCCCCCCTTCTTCCAGGGGGAGAACCCCACCATACACATGTACACATGTGTGTAAATGTTATTGACATGGCTTAGCAATCTACTGCCCCCTCCCATTATTCTTGTGCTAAGCACATCTTATTATGTAAAAACGCCACCCCCCACCATCTTTGCGGTTCCCAGAAGATTTAGGAAATTAAATGAGACAAAAACTATTCTAATAGTCCCAAGGGACACTTTAAGAAAGGAAGTGCTTTTCGAAAAGCCTTCAAAAAATTATTTTCCCTGGTTAAACATTAATATAGCGTTAAGAAAAAAAAAATCAAAAACGGCATCATCTCACCTCCCAGCCATCATCACTGTTAACAGTTTGGTGCAGGGTTGTTCTTTCTAATCTTGTATCTGTGCCCACAGTGTGTGTGTGAGGCTCTGTGTATTTAAACCACACCGGAAACACAGTTTAACATTTTCCCTTTGCTTTTCCTAGTTTATATTGTTTCACAGCTATTTCTTTCATTGATATATAACTATGGGCCTAGACACAGAGTTGCCAGGACCATAAGGCCTGGCTTTCCCAAACGGGAAATGCAATAAAAAGTTTGGAGACCAACCTGACTCTCCAGGTATTTAGAGACATGACCAATTGTTTGTGCATAATATTTAATGTACAGATTTAATTATACAGATTATCTATAACTTCTATTGATGTGCGATAGCGCGGTAACATTGTGACAAGTCTCAAGGTGCACCATGGAGCCCCACTTGGCAGGTCAAGCCACGGTTCCACAGATAATGTAAAACGACGCCACAGATAATGTAAAGCCACGTAGAACAGGAAATTTAGACTGATTTGGCTTTTCACTTTTATATTCCCTCCCTACTGCATCTTTGACCCTGGTGCTTTCTCTAGCCTCAGAGCCGCCTGGTGACCCCCCACCCTGGCTGCCTGGGGTCCCTCATTTTTATTGTGTGCAACTGGTTGGAGATTGAGATGCTACAGTTTAAAAAGCTGTGTACAATGTTGTCGCTGGAAATTGTCTTCTATTTGCATTGCATTAGGGATGCCTTTCCCCTTGAGCCCGCGCTCTGTGTTGGTGATCTCTGCAACGCAACTGCTATCTGCATGGCTTTTAGAAGTGATCTTTAAAGCCTTGTTTACACTGTCAGCCAACACAGCCATTGCGAGGTTGTAACCTCCACAATAGTCACAAATCCCGGCCACATTTCTATGCCTCCTTTTTGCTAATTCTGGCAGGTCACCTCTTTGTACATCCCAAACTAGTATTGATTGAGGTCGGGAGGGCTAATGTGATTTCCCCAAAGAGTACTTTATTGTTTAAAATAAAGTGAAAGCGAGTGTGCTTAATGGGAGAGTCTCTGTAAGTACTTGAATTTCAAGACATTTTCCCTTTTCTAAAGGATAATTGTAGGAAAATTCTCGTACCTGGACGTGTGATTTTGTTTGAAGACAAGATTAATGGAAGTGTGGTTTTCCATCTTTTGACCAGGCCCTCATTTATTTAATTATTCTCCTGTTGTTGGCTAGTTTAATTGTTTTTGGCTATTATGAGTAACAAGTCACAGTCCTGTCTTTGTATCTCTGGATGTTGTTGGTTACATCCACAGGACAGAGTCAAATGGATGTTTTTAAGGGTCTTGACATGCTGTGCCAAATAAGGAGCTTTCAGATGTGGTGGTGGTGGTGGTGGTGGGGCGCCCTATCTCTGCCATTCAGCGGGCTCGAGTGAGGATCCTGTCTGTTATATTTTATCTGTGTGACCTTTGGCAAATCTGAGCCTCAGTTTCCTAACCTGTGAAGGGGGGGTTGTGAAGCTCAGACAGGCTTGCCCTGGCTCTGTTGTTCCTGCCATTGGGAGGCAGGGCAGAAGCGAGAGGCCCACACTAGGTGTTGGGTTGCAGCCTCCTGGGAAGATGAAGGAGGTGTTGGGGTGCAGAGGTAGGCCCACAGGGATGAGACTACAGAGCTCTGGACACTTGCCTGTTGGACAAGAGGTCCTGATGAGTTCTTTCCGGCCTCTGGTTTCTCTGAGGGGAGAGGGACTGACCGGAATAGGCCCCAGGTGGAGCTCTAGCCAAGGTGAGTGGAATTAGTGGGTTGGAAAGGCCCCACCTGGGAGAGACAGGAAGGAGCAGAGTGGCTCCCGGAAGGGGCCCGTCAGCCTGTTATAGGAGAGAAGTTGCTAAAAGATCAGCGGCTGGTCACCTGGACACCTAAACCCAAGACCCCAACAGGTAAGACACATCGTGTGGGGAGGTCGTGGTCAAGAATGGGGTGTGGAACAGAATCCCAGTCTGGAGAAGGACTGGTAAGGTGATGGCGCCGGTGGGGGTGGAGGATGGGCCAGGCGCATGTGTGCCAGGCGGCTGATTTTCCCTGGGCCGCTCTGTAGACTGGGTGTGGGCAGCCTCACCATTTGCCCTCTCTGGGCCTCTCCAGGTCATTCTCCCATGAACACGGCTGGAGTGGGGATAATCCTGTTGATCAACAGCTCCTTGTTCTCCTATGTGGGTTGCTGGTCTCAGTAATGAAATCTCCAGGTGCTCCCCATGTAGCTACTTCACTCAGGGATACCTCCAGACCCACTTATGGAAAGAGAATAGTTCTAGTTCTAGCCCAGGCTGCCTGCTCAAGCTTGCAGTCATGCAGCTTCAGGAGAGCTGCATTCGAGGTGGCTGGGTTTGGACTAACACATTTTCTGAGAGGCACACAAGGAGGAACGTAGCTGAGCAGTGTCCTCTGTCCTTCCAGGTGACTTCTCTAGATTTGTGAACCCTGATGTTTTGGAAAAGAGGATAATCCCAAAGTCTGGCCTGCTCCCTCTGCTCTGGGGGGCTGCTCCTTCCCCTCCTGTTCCAGGGGCCCCGGCCAGCTGTCACGGCTGTGTAGACCTCTTCCCTGCGCCATCTCCTTCCCCACACACGCCCTTATAGAAGGAGGAGGGAGATGTTCGTTTCAAGTCTGTTGAAATGTTTATCTTCTCTGCTCTTCCTCTTGCTGAATTCCCATTTTGGGGGGGAGCCCTACTAAGCCTGAGCTAAGTGGCTCAAAGGACACACCCTCATGTTCCCTAAATTGACTGTGGAATTTGGGGGACTGGGTAGTGGTTTCCAGGCATCTGATCCTACTCTGTGCTAGATTTGTGGCTTACATTTTAGGGATGGACTGGAATGTTAACAGTTCCAGAGGCCCTGAGTGCTATAGATATGACCTCAATTTGCTGTATAGACCTACACAACACCTACACCACAGCTAAAGCCAAAGCCTTCACCCTGGACTCTGCAGCTCAATATTTTTTCTCCATCACTTCCCCTCCTCCCTCCGTCAGCAGAGAAGATTCAGGAGATTCCTTTGGCCTTTAGATTGCCCAGCCCAGCTTTTCATGGCAGAAAACTGCTATTCTCTTATTTCAACCTCTACCACTCAACTAGTCTTTGTTCTAAACACAATAAGGGTGAAGAAGGGTTTTCCCAGGGGGTGAGGACCCATCAAGTGCTTCAAAGCAGCAGCCTCCACAGGTAAGGAGGGAAGAGGCCTTGTTCCCATGAGACTCTTGTTTCCTCAGGGAACTCCTGCTCTTATATTTGGGTGTCTGGTGGAAATTTCCTTTCCTTGGAATTACTGCCAACCTCGTTTGTGAATACCAGTAACTTTCATTGGTCAACACCATCGAGCCTTATTGCTTCACTTTCCATAGTCTTCTGAGCTATGCTGAGAGGGAGTTTAATTAGAATTGCCTTCCATTGACCTGAGCACCTGCCTGCATCCCTATCAGTGTTCTGCAGAAGCCCCTTTGGCATTCTTCCTCTAGCTTCAGCAACACTGATGCTCCGTCACCCCTGTGAATACTAGTATTTTTTCAGCCTCTGATAGTAGCCCTACACCTCCCTCATCCACATCACCTTTGCCTTTAGTTCCTGCCCTAATGCCCCTTTTAATCTCTGAGTCCAAGTCCCCCCTATGTGACTATGGCTAGCTCATAGGATGGCTGGCCAGCTAATGGGATGACTTTGAGTCAGGTGTTCCCTTCTCAACAAATTAGCAGTGGCTAGGTGGTGATGGGGTCATGTGTTAGAGAGCCTGGCTGTTTCCACTCGGTGGAGGTCAAGGGGGCTGCTGCTGATGGATACTTTCAGTAAAGGCATAGAGCACTATCGCGGTCTCCCCAAGCCCACTCGGGCACATGTTGGCTCCCATCCCTTCCTACACACAGCACAGGACCGTCTCTGCTCCCAAGATAGGCAGGAGGTGGAGTTGAGTAGCCCACGGGTCAGGAGGGCTCACCTGCCCCTCCAAGACTCAGAAGGGGACATGGATTTGGGGAGACTCTGGGTGACATCACTCCTGTAGACAGGGACTTTCGGTTAAGCAGGTGGCTGTGGTGTTCCAGTGTCTGCAGAACTCCTGCAGAGTTTCAGTGCTTACCTTAGACCTAAAAACCAGAGCACTTGCTGGGAGGCCTGATGTTTGTATGGAGTTCAAGAAAGGCTGCTGTCTTGTTTGAGGAGTGGCGTTGGGTTGAAGAGCTGATCACTCACCCAGATCGCCTTTTGCTGGCTTTTCTAGGAATGGAGATCTCTGACTTTCGGCAGATGTGATTCCCTATCATCCTCCTTACCTGTCAATCATTCCCTCCCTCAGAGGGGTCCCAGTAGACGCCAGCCCCTAGGGCAGCTGAACTGAAAGTCTCCAGTCCCAGGCCTGATCCACTACAGAACTCACATGGCTAATGAATATTCCTTGCATTTCTGAGGTATTCTTAGAATGTGAGCAGTGTGGGCAGTGGAGAAAGCCTTGATCTCAGAAACAGGGATGTGGGTTCTAGTCCCAGATCTTCCAACTTGCTGTGTGATCTTGGGCAATCCCCTTCTGTGGGCCTCGATTTTCCCATCTGTGTAATGAGAGGATTAGATGAGGTAATCTGTGAAAAACTGGCTTGCTCTCAAGTAATAATCATCATCACTAAATCACTGTTGACTGAATATTCCTATGTGTTACCGGCATTAGCTCATTGAATCTTATAATTTGTCAGTCATTTTCAGAGGAGAAATTGAAGTTTCAGAGATGTTAGATAGCGTGCCTGGGTCCACACAGCCAGGAACCAGCCAGCGGGAGAGTTCTGCAGGTTGGGGGCTCTCATTCTTGAAGGCATTGACAGTTTTCACGGCCGCTCGAGGGGCTTCGGCGTTCTCCTCACCCCTCACAGTAGAATGGAATCAGCAAGTTTAATAAAACCCGGTGGGTTTGGAATCATCTCACCCTGTCATGAGGTAATGGATAGTCCACAGCCCTGACAGGCAGAATCCTGCTGTCCCTGGGCTGCATTTATGTCCCTTAAATGCCAAGCCGGGTCGGGTCCTATTTCTTTCACTGGAGGCCCAGCATCCCAGGAACGGTGGTCAGATCAGTATATTCCAGGCAGCGCTTTCTTCCTAACACCTCCAACATACGAAATGGCCCTTTCACCGCAGGCAGGCGCTGGGGATTTTTTCTTAAATTAAGAATTTGATACATTCCTTCAGTTCCCCTCCAGGGGTTACAGAGAGCAGGGAAAGTGATGCCTTGTGCTAATGTACAGGTGTGGTTGTGCATTTTGAAGGAGATCTTGACAATCTCCAGGAAAAAAAAAATGTCCCCAAATGACCCTCAGTTCTTGGTGAGAAATGCTAGCTTGTGTGGAAGGGCCGCACGTCCCCTGCCTAGCTGAAGCCTGTCTGTCTGAGGGGACAGTGGCAGTGTGTGTGTCTGTTGGGGGGGCATGGGGCACTGGGCAGGGCGTCCGGAGGTCTTGCTCGTGGGTGCCCTCATACTGTGGTGAGCCTTCATCCTCATGCCCGCACGGGCCCGGCACTGTGACTGGGCACCCTGCCTTGGTGAGGGCAAACATCCATGGAAGCTGGAGGAAGTGGGTGGTGGAGGGAAAGTCAAACAAATGGGATGTCAGCCCCAGCATAGGCAAGTTATTTGGCTATTCTATGCCTCAGTTTCTTCATCTGCAAAATGAGTTAATCACAGTACCTGCGTGCATCATACACTGTTGGGAAGATTAAGTGAGTGCTGATCGAACGGTATGTCGGGTGGCAAAATATTTGTTTTATACATGAATTCGTTATCGAAGCTGTGTATATATACTGTGTATTGAAATTAGTTGATTTTGTTTGTGAGAGAAGATTTAAGGTTACAGAAAAAGTGGATCAGAAAGTACGGAGAATTTCCAAACGCCCCTTCCCCCCAATTTCCCCTATTTTTGACATTTTGTTTTAGTGTGGTATGCTTATTACAGTTGATGAACCAGTATCGATACATTACTATGAACTAAAGCCATTAGTTTACATTAGGGCTCACTT